TGGGGGCGGGCTTTGAGAGTCCATAGGCTCACCCCACTTCCAGTTGGCTCTCTGCTTCCTGTTTGCTGTTGAGGTGTGATTTTTTTTCAGCTTCCTGCTCCACTGGTGCTGCCATTGCCCCCCCCCCCTCAGTTACGAACTCTCCCTCTGGAACACTAACCCAGAATAAACCTTTCATAAGTTGCTTTTGGTCAGGTGTTTATCACAGCAACAAAACATAATACAAGACAGCACCAGGCTTCAGTCTGTCCTTCTCCCAGCACGAGCTTCCCGAGAGATTCTAACTTACAGGTTTCTGTGGTCTGGCAGTCAAAGGGAGGGGCCGAGTGTCTCTAGAATATTTTCATTCCTGCCACACAAGAAGCAAGGTCTAGATGCTGTGCTTTCTTGGTTATTTATTTAACTGTGTGCATGAGCAGGTACCTGTGAGAGCATGTGGAGGGCGGCAAAGGGTAGCAGAGCCTCACAGCTGGGGTTGCAGGTGTTGTAGGATGCCCAGCTTCTTAGGTGGGTGCTGGGATGTGAACTTTGGTCCTTAAGATTGCGCAGCAAGAGCTCTGAACCACTGAGCCGTCTCTTCAGTCCCTACTCTAGTTTTTAATCTACTAAGTGGAAAGAGCCAACTATTTTGTACCCAGTCACGTGGGACTCAGACTACCTCACCTCCAGGGTCCCCGTCAGATGTACCCATTGCAGTGCAGACCTGAAGCCTTCCTTCCTTGCCTTTGATTCTCTGCCAAAATGCAAGTCACAGTGCTGGCTCCCTTCTTTCATAGTGTGCCCTGAGCAAACAGCCTCTGCTGGTCCTCGTTCGGGTTTACCACCACCCTTCAAGCAAAGTCTTCCAATCAACAACCCCACCCCATACCCAGAACTTCCCAGCAGCTTTAACACTGAGGGAAAGACAACACACAACCATGCAAGAAACAAAACAGGCTGGAAAAATGAATCCTGCCCTCCCTTCTTAAATGTGGACAGGGAAGTCGTCAGACTCAAACGGCTGCACCCAGGAAGCATCAGAGAAAGGAAGAGCGACCTTGGAGGAAACACACCCTTCAGAGACTAGAAACAAGCTTTTGAAAATATTTTAATTAGAGCCTTGGTGAGACTTGAGATATTACATCCATAAAACCCAAAACAGCAAGCTGTGAAAAACGAGGGAATGGAAAAGTCTCCTGGAAATTAAAAGTGGATTGGCTGAAATGAAAAAGATTGGAAGAGTAAGTGGAGAAACTCGCAGGACAGAGTGTCGAAAAGCAAGCTGAATGTGTGGCAGAAAAGATAACCCACTAAAAAAATCACTTTCTGTAGCTAAATCCAGAGATGGTTAGGTGTGTACCTGATGTGGAGAACTGGGCTTCCGGGGTGTGTGGAGTGTGTGTGTCAGAGGCCCTTGAGCCCACATGTGTTAGCTCTTGTCAAAACAATGTGAAAACAGGACAGCTCACTCCCCTGCTTAGAAACCACCATTTATCCCAAAGGCATAAAGGGGCAGGCACCTGTCTCCTCACCATGAGCTCTCCCAGATTCACCCAGGCTGCCCATCCCATTCCCTCACTGGCTTCAGTTCTACACAACTCTACCATGGGCCAGGCTGTCCAGTGTAAGCCTGGGGCTGAGAGCTGGGGGTAGGTTGGAGCTTGAGCTTGGAGCTGGGGGTAGGCTTGCAGCTTTGATGTTCAAGCCTGGGGCTTGGAGCTGGGGTGTCAGCTGGAGCTGGGAGGTAGGCTGGAATTGTAGAGTCAGCTGGAGTTTGGGGGTCAGCCCGGACTAGGGTGTCAGCTGGAGCTGGGGGAGGGTAACTTGGCTGGTTTCAAGAACGCTTTGGTTATGTTGTAATCTGGAAAATGTCGGCAAGAATCCCCCATCAAGGCTTTTGTGAGACTGGAACGAATGGAGTGACACATCTAGCAGAGCCCCCTGCACACAGTAAGTGATCGATGAATTCTAACAGCATTTAACAGAACTAGTGCTGCTTCACTTCACCCGTTTTGACTCTATTTTGACCACTTTTTTACACTTATAATGGAAAAGAAAACACTTAAAAAACCACTAAGCTCTTAACTTTACGAGCATCACAGCCTCTGATTTCCCATCGTTCTCCGTTCTGAAGAGAGAGCGTTCTTGCTATTATGTAAGGATGGCCTTGAATTTACAACTATCCCAGGATGACTTCAAACTTGTAGCAATCCTCCTGCCTCAGTTTCCACAGTGTCTACCGCCACACCTGGCTTCTGTATGTAATTTAAAAAGTATATTAAAAGGGGGCTTATTGGATAGGCTTACACAGAGTTGGAGTAGTCTAACCGATTGCCACCCCTCATTGGAGAGGGTGACGATCCTGTAGTTGCTCAGCTGCGGCTGAGTGTCTTGGCAGTCCCAGTCTGGCTCTGGAGGATTCCTGGAGAGCTGCTGGTCTTCAGTCTATCTTGGAAGTCTGAAGAAGCCAGTTCTAAACCCAGCAAAAGAGTGCTGCAGTAACAGGACAGATGAGTGCAGGCAGGAGGCAAGAAGAAAAGCTTGTTTCCCCTGGGTCCCTGCATCTGGGCTGCCCCCCTGAAGGTGCCGCCCACCCTTAGGCTGGGTCTCCCTGCTTCAAATCTGATGAGAGCATCCCTCACAGGAGTGCCTAGCAGCTTGCATTTTGGTTGGTGTCAGACCTAGTCATGTTGACAAGATTAGCATCATAAACCTGTACCTGTCAGCTTGGCACCCAGTCACACCTCTGTGTGTCATGATTAATCTCCAAATGAAAATAATCACAAGCATATAATTCATAATTCTGCCCAATATTACATAGCTTCCCATATACAACCTGTCATTTTGTAGCTGTGTGTGATGATTCATTGAAAAGACTTTGGCAACTCTGCCCCTCATGGCTTCCGCCTGGGAGCCAAAGCTGGTTTTGACGAACATCTCCTTTCTGTTCTCCACTAGAGCGCAAGCCTTGCCTCTTTGTGAGACCCCCCGACCCCGAGGGCCCCCATTCAGCTAGGCCCCTTCTTCCAGAGATCCTGCACACGTTTGTCTCCACTAACTGCTGCCAGCTGTCCCCTGGGCACCACACTTGGCTCTGCCATGGCAGTGCTCCACCTGGGACACCGTTTGTTCAGCGAGTGAGGAAGTTCCAGGTAGGCAGAGGGAAAGCAGAGGCCGTGTTTACAGGTGAGCAGTGTGTCAGGTAATAATGAACTTTGAGAAAAACACCTGTTCCATCCCTTTGTTAAGGAAGGCGGTGCTGCGAGGGGCGGGGCCTCGGGGAAGGTTCCTAGTGGGCAGATCAGTTGCTACTCTACTCACAGGAAGGACTTGAACTCAGTACCCCTTCTACAGTTTAATCCCAGGCTTCTGTTTCATTCTATTTGCTCTGCCCAAAAGCACACACCACATTCTAGCGAGTAAGGCCAGTCCCTGGCTTCTCCCTGTTTTGTTTTTGTTTTTTTGTTTTTTTTTTAAATCACCTGGCCCAGCTAGCTCCTCTCTACAGACAGAAAATAAATCAAAGCAGCCTTGAAGGTCAAAGAAATTGTTAAAAGTTTCATAGAAAGTGGAAAGGCCTTGGGGTTGGGGATTTAGCTCAGCAGAGCACTCTCCTAGCAAACATAAGGTCTTTGGTTCAGTTCCTAGTACTGGGGGCAGAGGAAAGACAAAATCAGAAGGTAGAAAAACCACCTTAGAAATCAAGGGTCCAAAATTCAAGGCTAGCATATTGTGATTGTGGAATAAGAGGAAGAGGGAGTTGGGGCTGGGGCTCTGTTGATAGAGTACTTGCCTACAAAACCCTGAGTTTGATCCCTACCACTGCACAAAACAGCACATATGTGTAGCCCCATTGGGAGAAGGAGGCAGAAACATCAGAAGTTCAAGGTCATCTTTGAGTTCTAGGCCAACCTGGGATACATGAGACCCTTGACAGAGAGGAAGAGAAAGGGGAGGGGGGAGAACCTAAATGACCAATAAACATATGAAAATGCTCAATTCCATTAGTAACCATGGAAATGAAAATCTTAAGAATCTTTATTCCCTCATTTGATTTGGCAAGATAAAAATGGGTGAGATTCATCAAATGTTTGTGGATGACATAAAGAGCAGCTGGTAAATTGGTAAAACTGGAGAAGCAGGGCCTTGGGATGTCACTCAACTGGGAGAGTGCTCACCTACCAACTCTTTGAGTTCCATCCCTAGCACCACTGCCAGGTATGACTGAACATGCCTGAAATCCCAGCATTAGGAAGGCAGAGAAAGAAGTTCAGAAGTTCATGGTTGTTCTCAGCTACATAACAAGTTCAAAGCCAGCCTGGTCTATGGCCTGGTCTCACAAAAACAAATGAACAAAAACATTTAAAAAATTTTTTTAAAGAGAAAGAGGGAACACTGAATACAGGTGAGGGGGCTGTCTCCATTTTGTTGCCCAGAATAGATACGGTGGTCTACTGGTTTGGGGTCTTTTACTTGGCACACTACTTACTGGAAAAGGATGTTGATGAAAGTTTCCCCAGCAGAGAGGCCCTGAACTGTGTGGCAGGTGTAAACAGGTAATGATTCGTAGGCAAGTAACATCCTCACTTTGAGACTTTGGTACATGGGCAGACCAGCTCCCTCTACACCTCCTTGGGCCAGCTGGTGCCACAGGGCTAGAACAGAGTGTCACACAGAGAGGACAGGTCACCTGTCATTTTATTGAATTATGGTAGGACAGGAGGCCTGACTGTCACCATCAGCTCCATCATGAATGGGATGGGTGTGTGCAGGACAAGAGCACCTTATCATAGTACCTGCTCCTGAGGGTGAGCGGGGTAGGTCACCTTAGACTGTGGGCCACCAGCTGCCTCCCAGGTCAGCTTAGACAGAGCCAAACAGTAGAGGGGACCTTAGGTGCCTTTGGGAGGAGTGCAGGCACCAGCCCAGCCCCAAACCTTTAGCTTGTGCTTCTAGTAACAGCCTGAGGAAGGAGGTGGCCATAGCCTGGCGGGACCAAGGTATATGGGTAGGAGAAGGGCTCAGGAAAGGAGCAGCAGGCACAGAGAGAAGGCTGTGAGGGGGCAGGAAAGTGCCTGGTCTGGAGCAAAACTGGCAAAGTAATGGGCAACGGCTACGTTGGGGTTGCCCTGGGTGGGCTCAAACCACTTCTGCAGACACCGCCCACTGCTCCTGCGGTCAGGACTGGCCTTGAACGTGTTGCTCCAGATCTTCTCGCACAGGTCAGATGGGGTGGGGAAGTAATCTGGGAAAGGGCGGCAGGGGGCCCTTGCTGGGCAGCGGTTCTTTCCTGTGGGGGATTGAAGACGGGCAGCTAACTTCCCACTTCCTTTCTGTTCCTTGTTCTCATCACCATGGGGGACACAGGGACGCTGGCATCTGTACCCAGGCTGAGGGCCAGCAAGAGGCCCGCCTTCCCTTGGGCCCCGTCAGCCCACTCACCCTGACTCCAGTCCCAGCCATCACGCCAGTTGGATTTGCAAGTGTAAGAGGAACCGCAGCCTTCCCACCACTGCTCACAGTCCTCGCGGCACAGAGGCGCCCCAAAAACCCGCTCCTCCTGCCCGCTCTTCACCTGAGTACGGGCAGAGAGACAGGAAAGCATTCTTTACAGAGGCTGTCAGGCTCTCCCTCTCCTCATGGTCTTGCTATGTAGACCTGGCTGGCCTCAAACTCAGATCTGTCTGCCTCTACCTCCTGAGTGGTGGGATTAAAGGTCTGCACCACAGCACCTGGCTTGTGTTATTCTGTCTCTCTGTGTACATGTGTGTATGTTTGTATTTTGTGCAGGTGCATGTGTGTGTGCTCCTGTAGAGGCCACAAGTATTTTCCCTCAAACACCCTATGTTTGAGACAAGTCCCTCCCTGGTGTGACCCTCTTCAAGTGCGCTATGCTGGCTGGAAGGCAGGCCCCAGGCATCCGTGTGTCTCTGCCTCCCCAGTGCTAGGATTACAAGGGCACACCACCACACTTGGCTCTTTCACATGGGTTCTGAGGATTGAACTCAGGTCCTCGTGCTTGTGTGGCAAAGGCTTTACTGACTGAGCCACTGTCCCAGTCCCAGGCCTTATTGTTATTCTATGAATGAGAGTGATGTCTGGGAGATGCTTGGTCCCAGGCTAGACGACAGCTGGTAGATATGGGAGATGGAACCCACTTAGGTCTGTCTCACTCTGCAAACCCTTGTCCTACTGTTCCATCTGATTAGTGTCCCCCATGCCATCCACCAGGAACAGAGGCAATTTCTTCTCCAGCTCTTTCCCCAACAGAGGCCTCGGGCTCTGCTCCCTAGAGGAACAGCATCCCTTGTTCCCACTAGCCTCCTAGAGATGCCAGTGTAGGACTGAATTATATGAGTCTGCTTCCTGTCTCCTTACCCGCTGGATCCAAGGCCCCAGGTTGGGGGAACACTGGTGGAAGCAGACGGCCTGGATGAAGTGCTCGTGACAGACCGGGGTCAGCAATCCACAGTGCATCAGGCTGAAGTTAAAGAGCAGGGACTCCTGGAGGTGGGCTTCCCAGCTGGTGTTGCGTGTGCAGCATGCATTGTCCTTCCAGGGGATGCACTGAAGGGGGTGGAGCAACAGGTAGAGTAGGAGGCTGGGGTTGAGTGTCCTGGGCAAAAGTGTAGAAGGAAAGGGGATAATCTGAGCACCTCTGTAGAGGGGAGACCCTGATGTTGGTCGACATCTATTCAAAGAGCAAGAGGCACCTGACCACAGACCACCTCCCTCACCTCCCTGTCAGGGGACATAGCTTCCTGAGAGGCAGCAGCGGCCTTTGGGGGAAATGCAAATGGACATGAGCCCCCAGGAGATGCAGGAAATCTGGAGTTGCACTGGGTGGGAGGGACTTGTAGTCTAAATGCAATTGCCTGCAATTGCCTTCAGGAGCTTCAGGACGAGACACTGAAGTCCTGTCTTTCCAGGAGGAAGGCTTGCTTTGATCCATGCTTAGCCAGTAAAGAGCCACTGGTATCTCCTCATGGCCTGTTTTCCAAGAAGCCAGAGAAGCTCACAGGCAGGAACTCTGGATCATTCCCAATCCAAGGAATGAAACGATCAGGGTTGGTGAGGTCCAGAGACCACTTTGCCACCTGTGTTCCTTCCCCGATCAAAGAAGCCACATCAGACCTAGTTCAGCTCAAGTCTCTGTACCTGTAAGTAGAGCTTGTCTTCTGGGCCAGGTTCTCTCTTGTGGTGCTTGGCATTCATGCAGACAGTGAGCAGCTTGTCCCCTGCCTGGATGGGCACGAGTGCCCACAACCCCAGGAGAAGCTGCAGCCACTGTGCCATGGCTTGCTGCAGAGAAGAGACTGTGAAAGAGAGGACCCCACCCCAGTCCCTCCACCATCCAGGTACTGGAGACAGACTCTGGCTCCAAGGCTCCCTCGGCTGGCAGCTCCTAGACCCTTGTGTGGAGCAGCAACACAGAATGTCAGGGCAGATGGAATAATCCTTGGATCTGACACCCCACCAACAACCATTGCATGGATGCAGAAATGGAATCCAGCGACGGGGAAAAACCAGTTCCAACGAGCAGGGCGGGTGGAGGTGGTGCCAGGCCTTCCTGGGGAGCTGTTTCTACCCTTTCCCGTGGAGGCTTCTTTGCTCACTCAGAAGCATATGGACTGGGAGTTCAGAGCTCTGCTCCCAGCCCACAGCCAGCTTCCTGGCCAAGTAATCAATTTTCACTAAGCAGATTCTCCTCATTGCCAAAGGACTTGGTGGGGTTGGGGGCCAGTGCACGCAGTACCCATCAAGGACCAACCCTAGTTCCGTTCTCTAGAAGGGTCCATGCCAGGTCCTTGGGGCAGCTTGTCCTCAGCCCTCTGGCTCTAGCCAGAGTCCTTTCCCCAGAGCAGTAGCTCTGCCCCCACCAGCCTCAATCCATCTCAAGTCCATCCTGAGCACGAAGCTGGGACAGCCAAGTGCCAGGGGCCCTGTTGGCCTCTCAGATCTGGGGGCACCCCTGGCCGTGAGGATGTGAGGACCCTGCCCCCTCCAAGGCCTCGCCCCAGCACAGGAGCATGGAGGACGTTGTATTCCATCTCTGTTCTGGCTTGTACTAGCAGTGGAGGGATGGAAGGCGAGAAACCCCTCCCTGCTTCCAGGACCCACCAAATCCTCAGGGAACGGGCCTCCTAATTTCTACCACGCAGGAACCCACAGCTCCCTTGTTCCCCCAGGCCTGGTGGAAGCTTGCCTTGAACATAGGCAGAGAACTTGAGGCCTAGCTTGAGTTTAGAGTATCAGACACTCCCAGACTTCACTGTAGAGCCCAGGTTTACCTCAAGTTTAAACCTAAGGCTGTTCCCTCCAAAGCAGCAGTTCAAGCTCAAAGCCAGCAAATATTCCCTAAGAACCAAAGTTCCAGAGAACAAGGAAAGCACTACCCCTTTAGACATTCTCTTCATACTCACTTTACAGGCAGGGTCCCTCTAGGTGCTCCCCCCCCAGCCCCACAGAGGCGCAGGCCGAGGACACGCCATCTGCCGCCCGTTTAATCTCCGGCCAGTTTCTATAGGATGCAGGTGCAGAGCAGAGCGGCAGGTGGACGGAGGGAGCGGCCTTGTCTCACCCAGCTCCGCAGACTCCGTGCGTTCAAGAGGGTTTGTCTCCTCAAAGAAACAAGACCCCCCTGCACCAGAGATCCCCACAGTGAGCAGTTCAGTGCTCAGCCCTGCCTCTCACCAGCGGGAACTTGGGGGAAAACAACTTGGATTTTCTGTCCGTCTGCCCATCTGTAAGGAGAGCTGTTGAGCAGGGACTACTGGGAGAAAGAGTTCATGGAAAAGTCTTGGCACGCACAACATCTGCCCCTGGGTATCTTGACAGTTCTCATTCTTCATCTTCTGCTCTCTGAAGTTCTCCCCCCTCCCCCGATGGTGTTCTGTCCTGTAGCTCCACCTGCCCCTTCCTTGGCTCAGTCGCCTGGAGCCTTGAGCAGCGGCTTCCTCCACAGCCTTCAGGAGCCGAGGTCCCTGCTGGAGAGCCACCAGGATGCGGCGATGAGTCTAGTCCTGGAGAAAAGAAAAGGCATCCTTCAGCACCTGCGGAACGGCCTGCCTGAGCACGCAGGACTTCTATCTCCAGAGCTGAAACAACCGACGTTACTGAAGTTTTATGCAAAACAGAAAATATAAACAAAACACCCCATGTGTTTTCACTGAGAAACAAAATACAGTTCATGACGTTCAGCTGCTGATATGCAAACACCTCAGTCCCATGTCCAAAAATGGCGCTTTCTGCACCTGGGTACTGAGCACCAATCACCTACAAGGACTAGCCATGGGCTGCGGGCTGAGGCATCCTCTTAACGGCTGCTTTCTGCCTATGACTGTTCCCAACGCGGACACCCTCCCTGTTTGAGATGTAGGGGAAACTGAGGCTTGGCTGAGGAACGGTGGAGCTAGGATCTGAACGAGGTTTGTGTGACTCCACAGCTGGTCCAGGTGAGGTGCCACAGGACTGAAGGACTAGGTTCTGCCCAGGTCTCCAGTCTGCTTTTCTGTTTAAAAAGTTAAACGCCACAATCAGATTGTATGTTGGAGGTGTGTTGGCATTTTTTGGGTGGAGACAATGGTGGTCACTAACCCAGCTTTCAAGGTCTGCCTTCAGCAGAGCTGGGGGTCTCTCCTTTGGGTTAGACATCAAGTGGGAAGGCATTTCTGTCCTCTTTACATTGGCGTCCAGGGTGGTGGGGTGGTGGGTAGAGGCAGGTACTCAATAAGAGACAGGGAGCACCATGCCTTGCGGAGGTAAGAGATTTGGTGTTGAGTGTTAAGTTTAAAATGGCTGTGGACTCGGCAAGGACAAAAATCCAGAAATGAGTCACAGAAGCCATTACTGAAATGGAAAACCGTCCTTCACATGCCGGGTCGGGGAGAAGGGCGGGGAGGAACTTGCTAATGATCTCCTGGACAATGCGGTAGGAAATGAGCCCAAATTGCAGCCCGCACAGGTGCAGGCGGAGGGAGGGAGGGAGGAGAGGCCTTTCCAAAAACCACCCACCAGGGCAGTGGTGGCTGTCCCCAGAGAGGCAGTTTGAGGCCCTTTAGCAGAGCTCATTTTGCCTTATTGTGGCTGAGTCTTCCAAAATAATCTGTTTCCTGACTGAAAGCTGATAAACCGAGGAAGGCTGTGGATGGAGCCACTTGAAGCAGCTGATTCAACACAATTTTGCTCTAAAACAGAACAAAGCTGTTAAATTGCCAGGGGAAGAGGCAGTGGGGTCATGGCATTCTGAAAGGCGTGTGTGTGGTGGCTGGAGTGGCTCTGCCTAGAGCCTCTTTGGGGGTCACAAGGGATGCTTAATGTTGGTGACTGTCCTGCTTCCCTTTATCTGGGCACCCAAGGGGCCTGGTGAGTTTGAAGACAGACCAGAAGCATGGAGCCTGTGCCAGGCACCTCCTAGGAAGCTGCAGTCCGAGGCCTGCTGTGGGGCTCAGTGGGAACGCCAAGTTCGTACTCTCATCCCCCAAACAATTAAAGCTCTTCTCTCAGTGTGTAGCGAGGGCAGAGGACAGACAGGTGTCGCTACCATTTCCTCCCCCATGTCCATCTAAGTGACAAAGGTCAGCTTGTCCTGAGTGTCCCTGAAGCCCAGGTCTTCTCCCCTGAAGCTGGGGCACATTTGGTCACTCCAGCCTGACTCCCTGGCTCCTCTCCAAGGCCACATCTCATATGCATGCAGTGGCTGGGATGGAAACATTCCTCAGGAGTTTATTACAAGACCTTTTAAACACAAGAAGAGGTGAACATGCATCCATCGTCCGCTCTGACTTTACGCTTACCATTTTCTTTTCTTTTTTTAAAAAATGTTATTTTTATTTTATGTATATGAGTATATTGCCTGCATGTAGGTAAGTGCACCCATGTTATGCAACGCCTGCAGAAGTCAGAAGAGGCTGTTGGATCTCCTGGGACTGGAGTTACGGAAAGCTGTTAGCTGCCATGTGGGTGCTGGGATTCGAACCCTGGTCTTCAGCAAGAACAACCAGTGTTCTAAACCACTGAGCCATCTCTCCAGCCCCTTCTCCTCCTCCTCCTTCCCCTCCTCCTTCCCCTCCTCCTCCTCCTCCTCCTCCTCCTCCTCCCCTCCTTATGACAAGGTCTTACTGTCTAGACTCCAGTTGGACTAAAACTCATTATGTAGACCAGGCTGGCCCCTCAAACGCTCAGTGATTCATCTGCCTCTGCCTCCCAAGTGCTGGGACTAAAGGCATGAGCCACCGCAGCCGGCCTTCTTTGTTGTTTTGAGGCAACCATCCATCCCTCTGTTGAGCCATGCATCCCAAGTACGTTTGCTTCAGCGCAGGAAATCACGGACTTCTGAGTAACTCGGGTATGCATATCACTAACCAGAGTTCAATATCTGTTTGGAAGTGTTTTTTCCTTTATCCAGAATGGTCTTTAAAAATGTAATGATGAGGGACTGGAGAGATGGCTCAGCAGTTAAGAATACTGGCTACTCTCACAGAGGACCCAGGTTTGAATCCCAGCACTCACATAGTGGCTAACAACCATCTGTAAATTCAGTTCCAGGGCATCCAACACCCTCTTCTGTCCTCTGTGGGAATTGCATGACATGGGTGCCCTAACACACATGCAGGCAGTACGCTCATACACATCAAATAAAAAGAAATAAATGAATAAATAAAAGTAAAATGTAATGATGAAACACTGTCATGTATAATTCACATAAGTGAATTATCTATCAAATGTAAATATTTTTAATATATTTTTATTGAATTTTTGTGGATTTCATACAATAATTCTTAATCATATTTAGTGCCCCTTCCCTATCTGTGCCACCCCCATAGCCTATCCACAGGACGTCATGCATTTTGTCATATATGTTAAGGCCTATTGAGTCAAGTTTGTGTCCCCAGATGTCCCTCTGTGTGAGTTCATCCACTGGAGCCTGGTCAGCCTCTCTAATGTCACTCCCTTAAAGAAGATCACCTCTCCCTCACGCAGCAGTGATCAGCTGCCAATAGTTCCTTGCCAAAGTTGTGGCCTCCTGCCCATTTCCCCAATTTTATTGTGGTTTTTGTTTAATAGAGGCTGCATGGGTCTTGTGCATGTTGTTACCATTGTTGTAAATTCATATGAGCAAGGTCCCAGGCACCTGTAGGACTCTGTTTCCTTATGGTCATGTACCTCCTCCCCTGGCTCTTGCAGTCTTTGTACCCCTCCTCTGCAGTGGTCCCTGAGCCTTCGGGGTGTGTGTGGAATTTAAAATAGGAGTCCTGTCCAGGGTCTTACACTCTGTAGTCTCTGATTCTCTACAC